TTTTTAACACTGTAACAACTCCCATCTTCGCTATGCAATCTTTGTTTTCTAACACTGTAACAACTCCCATCTTCGGTATGTAATCTTTGTTTTTTAACACTGTAACAACTCCCATCTTCGCTATGCAATCTTTGTTTTCTAACACTGTAACAACTCCCATCTTCTGTATGTAATCTTTGTTTCCTAACACTGTAACAACTCCCATCTTCTGTATGTAATCTTTGTTTTCTAACACTGTAACAACTCCCATCTTCGCTATGTAATCTTTGTTTTTAACACTGTAACAACTCCCATCTTCTATATGTAATCTTTGTTTTCTAACACTGTAACAACTCCCATCTTCGGTATGTAATCTTTGTTTCCTAACACTGTAACAATTCCCATCTTCGCTATGCAATCTTTATTTTCTAACACTGTAACAACTTCCATTTCATAAAATAAATCCTGGTATGTCATGTTTATAACAAGCCTTCGTTTCGTTCAATTACCTTCATCGTAACACAACTACGATGTCGTTCCGTTTGTTTGGATAATCCCCAATGCATGACAGCTTGTAATTTGGATCCATAAATCTCTTGTAATAGGAATTAGTTAAATTTTGCCGGACTTAAGTAGTTATCTCGGTGTTTCAGTATTTTGTCCTTAGAACAACTTTTTTCAATGTTAATCAGTCCCAGTACAGCATTAGAGAGCACCCTCTCTCAATTACATAAGGTCTAATAAAGTAAGTATGTAATTTTTCAAGTAAGAAACCACATACGCTCAACCAGTCTGGCTTTTCTCCTATCTATAAATGTCTTTGATACCGTACAGTTCAACCACATACGCTGAACCAGTCTGGCTTTTGTCCCATCTATAAATGTCTTTGATACCGTACAGTTCAACCACATACGCTCAACCAGTCTGGCTTTTTTTTCACATTACAATACTTGTGTTCACACGATTTTATAACTTAATTAACGTCTTAACTACTACTGTATCTGTCGTATCCCAAGTCAGCCTGTTGAGCCCAGCTATTCCACTCATGATTGATATGGACATGTTGTTACATGTTCTGTTTTTGCTATATTTATACCTTCTTAGAATGATAACAATTTTTATCATTTATGAAAAAAACTCGTTACTGTTCTGGTTTAATACCTCGTTTACCAAAATACGACCTCTGACTTTGGTACTACATTGAATAATGAAAAAAAAACATACGATAATTACATACGCTCAACCAGTCTGGCTTTTGTCCTATCTATAAATATCTTTGATACCGTACAGTTCAACCACATACGCTCAACCAGTCTGGCTTTTGTCCTATCTATAAATGTCTTTGATACCGTACAGTTCTGTGCCTGTGGCATACACTCCATCGCTTCGCTCGGTCAAATAAACCAATGTGTGCGTATGTGTATGTGTATACATACAACAAAAAATATCTATAATAAGTACGTTCTATGATAATTAACACTGGAAATATGCTTTTTGAAATACCAACTTCAATTTTTATACTATAGGAAAAATAAAATAAAAAAACGTCGTAAATGTCTTACTAAAAACAAGTTGTGGCTCTATATACATAGTCACAAATAAAATTAATTGTCACAACCAATAATATTATAACGAATAATCCACCATTATTAAATCATTTTATCTTGTTATTACTTACTCACACTTATTTATTGTAAGCCGACAACCCATTTTTATTTACATACAATAACAAATTATCGAATTAAATATGGGACAATGTATATTGATAAGAGACAAAACGATGGTTGTAACAATTTATTGACGACAAGGCTATTAAAACTTTAAAAAACAATCATTCACTTTTAGAGATATACATAATTTACAACAGGGGTGAAATTCTAGTGGACCTGCTTTTGAAAAAAGAAACAAAAATCAAAGTATAAACATAAAAAAAAGACAAAGAAGCTCAAATAAGTCCCGGTACTAGTACCGTCTTAAAAAAAAGTTCCTTTATTCAGTACCAGTGAGTACCGGCAGAATTTCACTCCTGATTTACAAAATATTGAACCAAATTACTTACAATGGTCATTGAATTAAATAGTTCGTGTTTCGAGTATAGGCGTTTGAAACAATACTGTAATTTAATTATAATAAAAATAATTCTCTTAAGCGTCATGTACAATACGAGTTTAAATAAACACCAGGTGGATTATGAAAAATAAGAAAACTGTTCATCGTTTCTTCTCACTTATTTACAGCATAGCCTTAACGGCAACGTTTTTATGAATTCATTATCAAAAAATGTTATAATTGTGCATTTCTTCTAGAGAATAGGCCGTTGCAAATTACAAAAGATCATAAGGCACAGCCAGAATGTCACACTTCGGTATCACAAATATCATACCATTTGGAAGATATAAGCTTTGGTCCAACAATGGCGTTCCTTCGCCTCCTGTCAAGAGGGTTAAATGCCCTGTTCTTCCAGTAATACTTGCCCTTGAAGAAGTACATGCTCCTGTCGGAATAAGAGTAGTAAACGGCATCCAGATTGAGCGGAAGCTTGGATTTTGGATCGGTAGACGGAAATTCTAGGTAAATTTCACGAGGGTAACCAGGCAAACAACATCCTTCACTTCCTCGTTCTACATCATAAGCATAGACCTGAAACACATTAGAATATCAATTTATTTATTCGATTTGCCCAACATCCTTCATTTCCTCGTTCTACATCATAAGCATAGACCTGAAACACATAAGAATATGAATTTATTTATTCGATTTGCCCAACATCCTTCACTTCCTCGTTCTACATCATAAGCATAGACCTGAAACACATTAGAATATGAATTTATTTATTCGATTTGCCCAACATCCTTCATTTCCTCGTTCTACATCATAACCATAGACCTGAAACACATAAGAATATGAATTTATTTATTCGATTTGCCCAACATCCTTCACTTCCTCGTTCTACATCATAAGCATAGACCTGAAACACATTAGAATATCAATTTATGTATTCGATTTGCCCATTGCAATATCTTAAGTTCTAAACATTTTAGAGGCTGTATCACAGTGGTTCTCAGCCTTTGCTCCACCAAGGACCCCCTTTTATTATCATTTTTCCCCCCCACGGCCCCCATGTTTTTGAAAGATTCTGACTACCCAACAAACTGTTTTTATTAACTAATAATTAACTTGTTCTCCCACTTTTCACCATCAAATAAAAGACATATATAACTGAGTGGGCAGTTAAAAAAAACATCAGTATTAAAAAACGTGTTTAATGAGATGGTATTACCTACGCGGACCCCCAGGTTGGGTACCACTGCTGTATCATTATGAAAATTTAGAATTAATCATTTTCAACATTTCGGACGAGAAATTAGGCTGACTTCTCCATGAAACTTTATATATTTGTTTCCACACTTCACAACAGAATAACAATCCTTTAAACACAAGTAATCATTTGGTTAATAATTTCACGAAAACACGTGGCCAACTCCACGATTAAGTCATATGGTATGATGTGCCAATGTTAATCTCTCCAGAAACGGGTATCAAGGACATATTTCTCCTCAATCTAAGATTTAAGGTATCAGAAAACTAGTAATAGGGTTACAAGAAAGTTAATGGACGTCATTGTATCTCTGAAAAGTTCGGAAATAAAATATAGATATGATTGCCCTGGTACCAAACAGGAATAAGTATTGTCAACCAGTATATGTATCTCCAACTCTCAGTTAAAAACAGAGTCTTTCGATGTAATACCAAGATCCACTTCAAGTGTTGACAGATATGCTTTAGACAGTTGTAATTATGTATTGTGTTTTAGAACATTATACCAAAACGATTTTCAATATGCAAATCAGCAAGCCAGATGACAATCATAAACAGTCGCAACAGAACGAAACGTATCAGAACTAAAAGTTTACATTTTGGCCTTACACACGTAGTGTGATATCACGAAAATTGACCACTTTTGAGAGGGGTATGTAACAGCATTATCCGACGCCAAATATTAGTACTTCCATAAAGATATTCGAAGTTTATGTTCTGTTATTTTCTTTGTATTACTACAGTTGAAGATTTAGTGGCACTGTACCCATCTTGTGGTTGAGAGCTTTTTTTTTTTAGCTGAATGGTACATGGAAGGAATTGGAGGTAGGCACAATATGAGGTGGATTAAAAGCTTGATAAAGATGTGTTTAGAAAAGGGATTTAGAATGTCAAAAGACAGGTATATCCATTTTACTTAACTGTGTTGGAATATAAAGAAATATGCATCAACTTGGAGAACCAGGACTATCCAGAAAGAGACCTGCATCAAGCCATACATCAATCATGGTATGAAAAGTTAACGTTTTGTAACAGGTGAAAATCCATTAATGCAAATTTTAGTGGTAAATGCTGTCCACGTACCACTGGCAACAGTATGCAACACATTCAAAAATAATTTCCGTCTGAAACGAAGTTGACACGGTATTTGTTCACAAAAAATAAGTCTCCCAGTCATACCTCTTGTTCAATCGTCACACACCTCAAGCAGCTGGAGAATGAAAAGGGTATCCATGCTATTCCATACAAATATATATCAATCAACTCAATATATTTCTGTGCTATAAAACCGTTAAAATGTGTGCTGGAAAATCACCTTTGACTAGTTGGATTATGGAAAGCACTAGGAAGGAGTGGTGTGCTTTGGACATAACAACCTTACGAGCGAATTTTTTGCAATGGAAACTACGCAGCAGGGCTATTCTGAAAATGCACCGTCATCATATAGAAAATGATTGAAAGTGGCGACATAGACTGGAGCTCCAAAATCGTTTTTACGTAAGGCACTATCTCCTCTGTATATAGATTTAAAGTAACCCAGTTGATCATGGAACAAGACAGATTGCAATAAATAAGCGTCGGCACTGTCGTTACTTTGAAAATTGTAAGTCCGGTTACCTTATGTAACTTCTTATGAACACTGTATCCTCATATCATTGTGAAGGAAAACCTATATGACTGCCTGTTATCCATTTTTATTGACTATTTTATATCCACACGTTATCCATTTTCATATGGTTATGTATCATTTTTCTTTAAGGAGCGATTTATCCTTAGTTATAGAAGTCGATATACATTTGCACGTAATCTTCTTTGTAAATGATTTTACATTTACATATTAGTTGAGCCCGGCATGGCCAGGTGAATAAGGCGCTCGACTCACAATCTGAGGGTC